CATTCTGCTCCTTTTAAATTTGCTTTAGGAAGAGATATTTGGCCATAATATAGATTTCTATTTAAACCTTTCTTTTTACCTCAAATATATAAGCCACTCAAATATCTATGACCAGATACCTGAGCCGTTTCTCCCCACCACTGGGTCCAGTCTCCAATTCAGAGGTGCCTTTGGTGGGAGAGGGCACAGACACATGTCTCTATTTTATTTGTATCAAATTCTTAGTGAAAGTAGTTCAAATATATTTAGAAAAAAATCCCACAAGTATCAAATATAATATGTCTTATACATCTTTATAATAATTCAAAATATATTACTGAGGCAAAATAAATATAGCAAAACCTAAAGAACACAAGTTTGGTTTAATGTTTGTAGTCCCAAGTAAGGTAATAAAACACATTGAATTGAAAAGATGAGAACCGTTTCTCACCACTTAAATCTGCCTCGTACATAAATTTCATGGGTTTTATGGACTTCAAGAGCATTATCTTTTTAGCATTGAAAAGATGATTTGGAAAAAGTTTTAACTACATATGCATTTCAAGAAGATTTCATTTATTTGCACTTTACTATCATCATCTTATTAACCAGACTGGTGGATTCAGAACATACTTAGGTATGGCAAAACTATTCTGAATAAAAAAAAATACAGAGGAAATATAGATCTAAGACCCAAAGAATCACATTGACAAACATCATTCAGAATATCTTGGGACTTGGGGAAAAACAATTTTACATTTTGAGTATGTGTTGGGCATTTTCATTAATATTTTGAGTGGCTTCTCTAGATGAAAATTGTTTGAAGATTCTCTGAATTTTAAAAATAAAATGAGTGAAGTCAAAATGAGATATCCTACTATTATCTTTCCCTAAAAGTAAAATCAGTTCTTTTTCTAATTAGAAAACCTACTATTTGAGATCACATGCTTTAATAGTTATATAATAGAAAATCTATGTATTTCTAGGATGTATGAAAATAATGGGCTCTAGATGTTAGAAAAAGCATGTTAGTGCAGTTGATCCAAATAAAACTGGTAGCATCTGCATAAAATTAATGCTAGTAACCCCTATAAATGCTCATATGTGACTATAGAAATGTTTGCTCTGCTCTGCTTTTATTTTCCATATTTCTCAAAAACGTTTTGGAACTGATTTAAATAATTCATCTCATTTCAGAATTAGGTAATGTTTTTCAGGGAACCTTCAAGTTGTCTTTTAATCAAAAATTTTCTCTTTTATTTGAACTTATTTAATCATATCTCTATCGTAGTGGCTCTAATACACAAGATGGATTGATTTATTTTATGTTGTTGATAAATTTTGGAATCTTGTTTTAGATAACACAGCTACAATTTTGACTAATAGAAGTGGTTTTAGCCTTCAAGACGAGCCCATCTTCTTCATAACCATTTTAATTGCGGACAACGGGATCCCATCACTTACAAGTACAAACACACTTACCATACATGTCTGTGACTGTGATGACAGTGGGAATACACAGACCTGCAGTGATAAGAAACTCGTGCTTTTCTTGGGACTCAGGGT